ATTCAAGGCTCCACTGTATTTACATTTGCTGAAAGACTATAGAAAGATGAGAATCATTTGAAACACCTTTTCTTCCAATGGTAGCTCAGTATCTATAGGAAAGTATTTGTACTTTCAAATTAAGAGGAAGGTCTATTTTGATTCATGACTTCAGAGGGTTTAGTCCATGGTTGATTGATCCTAAGGCAGAAGCAGCACCATGGAAGAACATGATACAAGAAAGATGCTTAGCCTGTGGCAGTTAGAAAGTGGGAAGAGAGAAGAGAGGAACTAAGGACAGGAATACACCCCTCCAGGTAACATCCCCAGTGCCCATCTCCAACAAGGTCCTGCTCCTTAATAGCAAAATCAGCTATGATCTGATCAATGAATCAATCCACTGATGAGTAGAGCACCTGGATGATCCAATCACCTTTCAAAAGCCCTACCTCTGATTATATGAGACTTTTAAGAGCACAAACCTTAACACTATAAGTAGGGGTAAATTATATTTAATTGAATATGAGAGATTGCCTACTGATAACATTAGCCTTAACTAAATGGAACAAGCACCGCAGGTTATTCGATAATGTGAATCATATAGACTTAGATTTGAATCTTCAGAGTGGTGGGGAACTTACAACTTTTCAAGATATGAAATATTTCTAATATACTTTCCCATGGGCATAGTCATTTATTGAGTTATATGAGGTATCAGATAAAAAAGGACTTGTGATGTATACCTGGAAAATGTGTTTGAAAACTAAGTACAATGTTTTAGCATGCCAATGGGCTTTATAAATAGTTCTATATGGTATTTTAGAGCAGTCTGAAATATTATGTAAATGTACTGAAAAGTCTAAAAACTATACATAATATCAGGATAGACATTTGCCTGTTTAACCCTTTATTTTGTACTGATCCTTTTATTCTCTATATATCCATAATCCTTATATGGATATATATTCTCTACATATCCATGTATCTCTATGTATCAATATATGGGAATATAACATTCATATAGACTAACTTTCAGAACACCAAGATTATCCATCTACAAAGCAGAAACATCCTTTAATAATAGTAGTAATTGTCATTCTGATTACTCATAAGGGGGGTCCTTAATTTATTCATTTGAGCCAGGGATTTAGCTTAGTGGTTCCACCGCCTGCTGCGCAAGCGCAAGGACCTGAGTTCGATCCCCAGTACCAAAAAAAAAAAAAAAAACCAAAACCAACTTAATTTATTAATTTGAGAACTATTTGTTTTATGGTGTCAATGTGAGAGGACACAAGTGTTGCAGAGGTGGGATGGGAGCTTTCTCCAGCTGTGTTCTACTGGAGGGAAACAGCAAACTCCTTAAAGAGCAATACAGAGATTTCAATGGTAATAAATATTCTAATTGGTCTCTGACAATAACATGTAAACAATGCACAAATGTGAAGCAGGTAGCTCCAGCACGTTTTAGAAATCTGAAGAAGGGAAAGAAAAAATTATGAAAAAAAAATGGAATCAAACTCTGTATAAATAGGGAAGAGTGGAAGGAGTGAAGGGTGCACAGGTAATGGGAGAAAAAATAAAAACTAAGATACATCATGTTCTGGTACAAACACCCAATGATAAATGTAAATGTATTTTATACCTAAAATGTACCAATAAATATATATATTTTAAAAAAAGAAATCTGTATGTCTATCTTTAAAATTTAATAACCTCCTTAACTTAAATGATATCATTTTCTTACTCAGTGCCAATGCCAAATGCAAATCGAGGACTTAATATTTGGAGTAAATAAACAGGCAAAGGATTGGCATACTTCGTCTTGCAAAGAAGGACAATGCTTGTGCCTGAAACAAGAATAACATTACTTGCCTTCCAAACCTGCTCTGAGAGGAAATGGCAAGTGTGCCTTGAGTCTGCCTTGTGAATTAATGCAACAGAGATCAAATGTAACTGCTGTCCACATTTTCGCTTGTGTCTTTCCCTTTTGAGAAAGGTAGCTGCCCTTTCAGAAGTCTTTTTGCTTCTTTCCTTTCCCTGCTACCCACTCCTCTTACTACTTACCAATTTCTGAAGTCAATTTTTACATCTTACAAAATTAAACTTCAAATAGGGAAAAGCAAAGCACTGACATTGCTCTAGCTACAGGCCCAGCAAGTGGTGGTGTTATTGGTAATAAAAATTATTATAATTATAATGTTATGTAGCCAGCTGATCACATCTTGGTTTATCTAGATTACCTTCTATTATTAGGAGGGACGCATTATTCTAACATACAATGGATATATATTAAAGAGTGAGATTTACTTACTGCAAGAGAGAATATGCAATGGAAAGGCTCAGAGTTAAGAAAGAAAATGAACAGATGACCATGCTAGGTCACCTGACTATCATAGGTCTCCACAGAGAATCTCTTCTTCCACTTCTGATGAGAAGAGGTCTGTCCTGGAGGTAGGAGGGAAAATGGCCATTCCAAGTCCGGATACTGACGGTCTCTCAAGCACTAGCAAAGCTTACCTGGGCAACAGTGAAGAAACCATGAAGCTGCTGGTTTAAGAACAAAGAAAGAGAGCACCATGGCCATTTATGTGCCACATTACAACACAGTCCCTGAGATGTGGACAAAGTCAAGGTAGCTGAGCAGAGAGCAACAGTGAAGAAAACTTAGAAGACGGCTGAGAAACAACTGCTCACCAAGTGATTCTGTGTGAACATCATCTGTGTGAAAATCACCATGGGCCACACAGAAACTGCACATGTTCAGCAAAGTGAGGTATAGTTCAAGGCTCTCTGACCCAGGACCCAGGAATATTTGCCTAAAGTTTAAGAACAGCCAGGACGTGGGCCAGAGAGCAGGGGCGCTCACTGGTGCAGCCAGCCAGGCCCCTGTAGGTCCTCTCTGAGAAGGACAGGCCCAGATGAGCTCTCATGGGACTTCCTCCACATGAATGGATCACACCCCACCGCTGAAGGTCCAGAAGGGCTTTAACAAACTGTGTCACTTTCCTGTTCACTGTGTGTCTTAGCTGCAGCTTTCAAAGTAAACCCTGAACTTCAGAACAGAGGGTAAGGGAGGTTTACACAGCTGACTGGAGGCAGAGCTGGACTCTGACTCTACCCACATGCAACTCCAAAGCCTCCACTTGTGACTACGTGGCTGATCTTGGAAACACCCCAGAACCCTCTCTCTGTATTGCTATTGTCATGTAAGTACAAAGAACGATTACCTGCTTCACTCTGTTTACAAACCTTATTAACTGTACGAAAAAATTGAAGCACGGCAGTTGAACATGGCATCATGTGAAAATGGAAATTTATAACATTTAAACATTAACTTGCCTGCCAAGGAGCATTGCTGATAACTGAACTAGAAAAGAATCAAAACTATAATGCAGGACATGATGGAAGAACAACGGGATTCACTCTTTCTAGCAAATATGACTATGTTACTACTGATACAATCTCTTTTCCTTTTCTCAGCTCTTGAGGTTACCCTAATCCTATATGTATACCAACCAGGGAAGATCTATCAATTTACAAATAAAGCTCTTGTCCATTCCTAGAAATAAACACAAAAACTTATTGCCTCTATCAAAAGGAAGGCTAGTGAAAACAGCCTTTAATCTATACTTTCTTTGTTTTTAAGTTTTTGAGACAGGGGCTCACTATGTATTCCAGGCTGGCCTTGAACTTGCAATCCTCGTGCCTCAGCCTCATGAGTTGCTGGGATTATTAGTGTGTACCACTACACCCAGTTACTTTGTGCTTTTAATGCAAGGAATAATTTGTGGTTCACAAATAATTTTAAAATATTGCTAAATCTCTGGTTAAATTTTTAGGAAAACTGGAAGTTATAACCAGGGATGCTGAATTCATTAATTAGAATACTATTTAAATTCTATCTCTGTGATTTTTGATCTAGCTCAGCTAAAACAAGAAAGGATGAGCTGATAAAAGCAATTTAAATACACTTAAAATTCTGAATTAGGCTTATTTTAATACTGTACTTACTGGTATCAGTCCAAGTTTGATCATTAACAAAAATTTCATATTATATTATGATCATGTTTACATGCGTTACTTTCACATAAGGAAGGATCAAAATGCTTTGATTATTTAGCAAAGCTACAAAGTTGAAGGCTGTGGATTTATCTTAGTGGTACCTTGCCCACCTCAAAAGTGCAAGGTCCTGAGTTCAATTGCCGGTATGGGTGTGGGGGGGTGTACAAAGTTGAGATCTTTTAAATTAACTAAAAATATGTAATTCTGTGGCCAGATTTCCTCTGACAATTGATCAGGGACAAGCCCACTCTGGCCTCCTCATTTATTCTTCATTATATTCAAATCACAGCTTTTTCTTCCTCCCTCCCAACTGATCACTTCCTCTGATCACCTGTAGAACAAGACTTCTGGTCATGACTGGCCTTTTAATTTTTGTCCTGTCATATACACATGTCACACAACCAGAAATGAAGTCAGTTTTGCTCTACAGAACTACTGTTAGTAAGAGAAAGCCTAGATATAAAGATTTGTCACACTCCTTGTCTCTGAGAAGTGGATTTCAGCTGGGTGTGGTGGAACACACCTGTAACACCAGCACCCCAGGAAGCTGAGGCAGGCAGATTGAAAGCTTGAGCCCAGCCTGGGCTGGGGCAACTTAACCAACTTGGTGAGACCCTGTCTCAAAATAAAAAATAAAAAAAGATGTAGCTAGGTGCAAAGGCCCTCAGTTCAATTCCCAGTACGGGGTGGTGGGGGTGGTGGATTTCATCATAGCTGAATAACTGTATTTCTGTGTACAGGCCACTGACTGATGTATGTGAAATACATTTTGGGCCCAGTAAGTGTAATTCACTCTGTAATGCACTGTCATGCTATTTGACCTGCACCCTGCTCTAGGTGCAGTGGCACACATCTTATTTTTCTTTAGGGAGTCAGTACTTGGTGAATGCATCACCACCGATGCACCAGGTGCTGACATTTTATTAGAAAAATACATCCTGGATTTGGGAAATACATACCTGATTGCACTTGCAGATAAGTGGCCATAGGAACCACTCGCTGAAGAGCTGCTACGGGAATTATTCAGGATTGTGACCAGGGAGTTGGGAGATGTTCTTATCATGGTCTGAAGGTCAAAGCTATGATCTGACAGTGGTGATATGGACAGTGTGCGTTTCCGGCTCGGCCTGGCTGACAGCCTAGGGCTGGGGAATCTGGTGCCTGTTAGAGAGACAAAACAGAACCTGATTACCTGCAACCAAACTCTATACCTGTTATTGACTGCCACTCACCCATGCAAAAGAAGTGCGGGATAAGAAGCCAGCAACGTGGTGACAAGCCACCTCTCCTTCCCCAGGGACCTACAGGCTACAATTGAGGAAATTAGAGAGAAATATTTATCTTCCAGGGGCTTACCTCGGGGAAGCTCTGTTTATTAATGTGCAGGCAAAATGATAAATTGCTAAACAAAAGGGAGAGACTTTTATGTGTTATCCCTCTCATTTCTAGTGATTTATGAATCTGACGGCTGCTTAGATATTCCCATCATTAATTCACCACAAGCGACAAAGACAGTGGCTCCTACAGTGGCAACCCACCCAGCACCCTCCCCACTCCACACACACCATTATAAGGCAATGAGCCAAAGTAAAAAGTGAATTAAAGCATCCTAAAATAAAAGATCCAGCTTAGCAATTCCCTCCTTTCCCCCATGACATCTGCAGTTATCTGCCTGGCATACTTAAAGCATCCCTCAAACAATTTATAAATCCATTACCCTAAATCAATGGCTCTCAATTGGGGGTGACTTTGACCTCAGGGGATATCTGACAACATCTGGAGACATTTGATTTGTCACCACTTAGGGAGTGCTACTGGCATCTAGAGGGTGGGGGACAGGGTTCTGCTAAACGCATTACGGGGCACAGGACAGCCCCCACCATAAGCTCTTCCGGCTCAACAGCAGCAGGATGGGACCACAGCCCTAAATTTCCCATGATCTAAGATCATAAATTCCAACAAACACTTCCAGAACTGGGGCATTGTTTGCTGATAGATTTTGCAAGGTGGGGCCCACAAGCACAATAAAGAGATTCCATGTGCTTATAAAGTACTGATTCTTCTCTGGATCCTGCTTCTCCATTCAGAACTAACAGAAGATAATATAGTTACTAGGATTTTCAGCCTTCAAGAAGAGTCCACCAATGGAACCCTAAGCTGGAGATAGGTAACTCAACTTAGACACATGCCAATTTAACACAATGTTTTCTGCCTGTGGAGTTAAAAATTAAATGTCCATTTCCATTCAAATTTGGTAGGTATTAAGACCAGAATCTCAGGGTATAAAGTTGAATGTAACCCATTGGGACACTCCTGCCTTTCTGAAGGCTGCATTTACATTACAGAATCATAGAACCAAAGTTTAATGAAAGAATGAGAACATAATCCACCGGGAAAGTGGCAAGACCAAACAGGAACAGCTGTAAGCACAAACTAAGGGCTTCCTGCTTCACAGCATGGATACACCTGCTTACAGGAATGTGGCACTTTTGCGGTATCCAGAAAACAGAAGTGGAATTAAACTTTCTTTACAGAACAAACTCCAGGCATTTGGTTTCCAGAAAATTCACCGGGAATATTTTCTTCAGCAGATATTGATCTTGACGTAAGATAATCAACATGCCTCAAGATAATTTAATGAAACAGAATAGATTAATATGAAAACCTTCATAGTTAATATTGTAACCAAAGACTGAAACTAATATCCATGTATGAAACTAGAAAACCAATTTGAATGGCAAATGTGGTACCTACTCAAATTTTCTTCCAAGCACTTATTTGGCAGTATTGGGAATTGAACCAGGGCCTTTTCACTGAGCTATATCCCTAGTCCTTTTTTATTTTGAAACAGGGTTTTGCTAAGTCATTAAGTTGCCCAAGGTGGGCTCAAACTTGCTCTCCTTCTGTCTTAAGTCTCCAAGAGTACTGAGTTAAGGCATATTTAAAATAAGTTCCTTCATTTAGGATATTTCATTACTAGCCTAATTTAGGGTATGTTCATACAAAACAGTAATCCCAACAATGTATACATCTGTTAATGTTTAAATCAGCTGCTTACTTATATTATGGCATCTGCCTTAAACATAATATTTCCCATTTACTCACTATGAAACACTAATTTCATCATAAATTTTAACGAAGAAACACACACCACTCTTAAACAGTTCCAAAGACAAAGCAGATTTACTGTTAAATTCCATGTAATCTTTGACAATAGACTATTGCAGTGGGATTTACAAATGGAAGCAGCAAAACATGCTGGACAGAGATCATTCCTGAACACCAGTAACAGGAGATAAGATCCAGTGAAATACTAGAAGCTTTCATCTCCCACATGTCATGCAAAGCCTGAGCTCAGGGCCCAAGCAAGACCTTTTCTATTTGTCCATGGAACCCTCAGGGTCATGTATGACCTGGTTGGAACAACTGCTCATGGCTTTCCCTCCAACACTGGCTCTTATTGAAGTTGGTTTTTGCCAATATAAATAGTGCGTGAGCCAGGCATGGTGGTACATGCCTGTAATCCCAGCACTCAGAAGGCTGAGGCAGGAGGATTTTGAGTTTGAGGCCAGCCTGTATAGTGAGCTCAAGGACAGCCTGAACTACAGAGCAAGACCCTGTCTCAAAACAAAAAAAAAATACTGTGCATTTCAGGCACCCTAACCTTTAAGATGTTTCTCACAGAGATGACATACTCATGTGTCCTTTAAAGTCACTCTAACCCCAACCCCAAGAGATGTAATTAGAACCACAGACAAACTTGTTTATTCTAACTCACTACATGAAAATATTCTACTTTCATCTCACTGAAACCCAAATGTGCCCACGGTTAGCACATCTACAAGTCAGGTGCCCACGGTGGTATCAACCAGTGAGAGTCCCAGGGACCCATGACAAGGGACTGGAGTGACCAGCTGGGTCCCAGTTTGCATCTGCTACTGCAGGTGCCGATGTAGGGACTTAAGACTGAGATTTCCATTCTCTGTTGGATGTGACTTAAATTTATAGTACTCTTTATCTTACGCCAGTGGTGGCCAACCTATGGCACGGTTGCCACAGGGGGCTGTTTCCATCACTGAAAGTGCTAAAGGGTTTGCCATTACTGTCTTACACTCTGTCTAACTAAGTGCTACTGCAGTTATTTTAGAGGAAAGGAATCTAGAACTTGAAAGACTTCCCCATCCTTCTCAACTCCACATAATCAAGAGGAAAAAAAGAACATCAGTGGAGTACTGGGGGACACTGATTTGGGATTTTCGATGAAGGAAGTTGTAGAAACACAAGGTGAGCATTTTCAAAAGAAGCAGACTGATCAGGCCACTTCTTTCTGAAACAGAAGCCAGAGATTTCCTATTGTTCCAACACAGGGAGTTCCAATCTGGCTTTCTGTTCATTGTTTTGTTTCTGTAGTCTAATAAAAACATTCTGACAAAGGAAAAGGAGGTTTCTTTTTATGTGATGAATGACAGGACATCTAAATTCCTACTTAATGACAATCAATTTACCATATATTCGGGCAAATTAAAATTCCTTTAATTAGTTTTTACAAAGTAAAAGGGTAGCGTCATCCTTTATTTAGATAAAAACCACCACTGCCTGACTAAACACATCCTCATCAAATAGGGAAAGTACCATGGGCTGACCTTCCAAGGAATCTCTCTTATTTTAATTCTTTATTTGCAGATTTTAAATAACTGATTTGCATAATAACACTGAACTTTTCCCCCTCAACAATCACTAATTGAAATGTGGTTATGATGAATCTGAAATGTGTGCTCTCTTCACTACTGAACAACACAACCTCAGCAGAAGATATAACACATTTCTTTTACCAATACAAGCACATGTTCCTGCGAGGTACGGCAAGGCTGTTCTGGGTGGAAAAGACACTAACACTGTCGATAGTACCCCAGTGTGGACCGATCACCTGCTCTCTTTTATTACCAGAGAACTGAACTATCCAGTTGACAAACGTACGCCTTTGTCACAGAAGAATCCCAATGGAGGGTAGATGCAAACATGTAAGATAAGCACAGGAACTAAGAGAAACAAAGCTCCAGGTGGATGCCCAACGCAAAGTTGCACTATCAAATTCAGAGCGAGGGGCTTTTGCAGATGCGTGACTCGGGTGATACTCTGGGTTCACTACTTAGGACTGTGCCAAAGGACATGTACTGAGAAGGTCATTTCTGGAGAGAGAAGACCTCTGAGATGCTCTGAACAGCAATAATCATAGGCTCATTTGTGATCCAAAGGAGTCACCCTATGCCTTAAAGACTCCCAAATAAGTGACATACACGTCAAATGACCCCATTTTCTTCCACTGCTATCTTCTTAAAGTAGATTGGAAATGATTCTTATATTTTTCATGTAGCTATTCTGAGCCTCCCAAACACTCAGTAGCTACAAAAGGCCTTAGTGAAATATAATTTTTTAATACAAAGATTATGGGGCAAAATAAATCATTTAATGTAAAAAAAGTAACACCTTTTTTTGTGTTTCTTTCTTGACTTTTTTTTTTCCCTGTGGTACTGAGGAGCGAGCCCAGAGCACTGAACTACATCTCCAACCCCTTTTTGTATTTTTCATTTTGAGACAGGGTCTAAGTCACTAAGTTGCTCAGGTTGGGCCTGAACCTGTGATCCTTCTGCTTCAGCCTCTCTTTAGTGCTGGAATTACAGGAGTGCACCACCACACCTGGCATTCTTTATTTCACTTATTTTTTAAGGCACAAAAATAAACACATGAAACCAAAGAGTTACAGAGCCAAGTCCATCCATGTGTGTTATGGTTTGGGTCTAGATGTCCCCCTAAAGCCTCATGAGGTCCTGGGTGGAGTTTTTTCAGAGCTGGCTGAATCTAGAGTGTATGATGCTGGGATTAAGGGTGTGTGATAACTGATCAGTCCACTGATTGGTTTGGCTCCACCCTAATCTCAGTAGCCTAGTACAATATAAGGGACAGAAAGAGGCTTATCTTCTCCCTCTTTGTTGCTTCGCTACCTTCTGCCCACCATGAACTGTTTCTCCTCTACAATGCCACCGTGCTTTGGAGCCAGCTGATTAGGGTTGAAACCTCTACAAACTATGAGCTAAACCCTTTCCTCCCTTAACTATGTGTGGTGGGTATTTTATCTCAGTAACAAGAAAAGTAACTAAGACAATGTGTCAAATCCTTTCTCTTATTTTTCTATTGAAAAAATCCGGGCAGCATAATACATTTCCAGGTCACAGGTATCCTTGAGTCAAACAGGCCCAGGCAGGTCAGGTCTGTAGAAGCTTCCTCAGACACCAAGGGAACAGAGCACTAAGTACAGAGGATTCCCCTCCTCTGCACCAAAGAGGTAGACTGTTACTTAACCTTTGCATCTTCCCCTCTAGTACGTGAGTTAGCACCCGCCCCTCCCCAGGGCTGCAGGAAGCAGTGCCCTCACTTACTGTCCATGGCGTGAAGGTATTCCATGTGGATGGCCCCTGCACCAGTGGCCGCAGAGGGAAGGATGTCGGCATAGGGGCTGCGCTGTCCAGTCAGCAGGGCCATCTGGTGATAGTACTCCGCGGGGCTGACTCCAGCATGGGGGGCTGGGGACAAGACAGGGGTGTGGTGACAACCAGAAGAAGGTCAACTGGACACTTTTCTGGAAGCTTTCCAAGTCTACTTCTCATGCATGCCTCCAACACTATTTATTTTGTGGTTCCTTACAGTCAAGTTCCTTTTTTTCAAAATGCTTTCAATGACATTAAATAACTTTTATTTTTAAAAAATGTTTTATTAGTAGTACATATTTGTGATACATAATAATCGCATTCACCTTAGGAAACTGGCACATACACTTATGGCACCTGGATCATTTTTATACCCCCTTCCCCTCTATCCTCCCTTTTAAATATATTTTTTGAAAGTAAATGTGAAGGAATAGAAAAAAAATAAAACAACATTGCCAAGTTTTGCTGTTAGTGTATTTATACCAACAAAAATGGAAATGAATTAAAATACATAGGGTTGGGCCAGGGATTTAGCTCAGTGGTGCCACCACCTGCCTTGCAAGCACAAGGTCCTGAGTTCGATCCCCAGTACCAAAATATATATATATATATATATATATATATATATATATATAGTCATGCATTCCCTAGGAAGAGGATACATTCTGAGAAATGCTTCATTAGGTGATTCTGTCCATGCTGAAACATCACAGTATGTACTTAAACTAAGCTGGCAACAATGTCACTATGCAATATAAGCTTAGGGGTCTCTGCTGCTCCTGCGATGTTGACCAAAATGTTGTTATGCAGCACATGGGGAGTGTATACAGCCAAGTCTAAACCCAAACCCAAAAGTAAAGTGGTTTTTATACCAAATCACTGTATGTTCACATTTCTTACAACAGTAGACGACTCAGACAACTGTGATCTTTCCAGACATACTTAAAATACTTCCCTAAGCTCATGACAGGGGTGTCTGAGTTAACGCTCACTAACGTGAGGAGTCAGGGTTTACAGGAGAGAAGAAAAAGGCAGTGCGACTTTAATGACATACAAGGGAATGATAAGCTGCAATTTTGTGTTCCATAATTTAAAAGCTCTCTTTCCCTCTTTTTTTTTCATTACAAAAAATCAAAAAGAAAATATACCTATCAATCTGGAGCAATTTACTGGCAAGAGTAAGCCTTCCATAAGTGGGATAATAATCGGTTTCCCCTTGCCAATTTATGTGCAAAAGCAGCAAGATATTGTAGCAGTCCTGAGGGTGGCCTCCAGATTCGTGGAGATCTGGAGTCAAACAGGTTCCATGAGGTTTTCAGGAGCAAAAAGTCAACCCATGCATGTGAAGTGCTTTGCTATATACACAGCATTTGATCAGTAACCATCACTTTTACAATGATTTAAGGAACACCAGCAGTTGGTCAATAGCTTGGTGGGTGCTATATGTGTGCCCATATACTTTCTATGCATGATACATGGTAAAGATAGAAATAATAAAAACCTTTAGAAAACAAGAGGAAAATATTAGTACTATTATGTGCTAGGGTATTAACTGGAGTCTTAGGAGGTAGGAAAAGGGAGCTAGATCAACCAAAGAATGTTTTATTCCTACTCACCAAATGCTGTGAAAAGCAGAAGATGAATGTTGCTTTCAGTACAGCAACTACAAGGCATGATTGAAAACTATAGGGTATGTTTAAGTTTTAAATTTTTATTACAATAAAAGATAAATTGTTTGAGCTATTCCCCCCTCAAAATACCACCCTTTGCTTTGAACACTCTTAGCCCATCGTTCTTGCCACTTTCTGAAGCATTTCTAGAAGTCTCCTTTTCTAGTGTCTTTAGTTGCACTCTCCTAGCTGCTCCGATATCCTGAATGGATTCAAAACGCTTATCTTTTGTGGTCATTTTGACTCTGAAGAAGAACCAGAGATAGCACAGGGCTAGATCCTGTTAGTAAGTTGGATGAAGACATTCTATAATGTTTTAATGAGCCTACCTTTCCTTTGATGGAACTTGGCAGCAGCACTCACATATTTTTTATCTTACTTCATGAACACATTCAAGAAAGAGGACTTTCAGTACTGCTCCAGAAAGCAGCAAGAACAACAAAATTACTGAAATACATTTTTAAATTTTTACTTAAACATTCACTGTGTTTTGATCACACCTCACACAGGTACCACTTTACCCCATTCCCATTTCTGTAAGCTAGGCATAATTCCTAGCTTCTCAGACTACCTCTACCAGCTCCCTCTGTTACTCATTTCCTCCAGCTCCTAAGCCCTCCTAAAGATGACCCTCATTTCTTCTACTGAAAAATCAAATAACAAGCAGTAAAATTAACCCACATTTGACTCTCTTTGAGTTTTATGTTATGTTTTAAAATGTGAATTTTGGGCAGGGGATTTAGCTCAGTGGTGTGTCACCTGCCTCGCAAGCACAGGATCCCGAGTTCGATCCCCAGTACCCACCCCCTCAAAATGTGAATCTTGCTCAAATAGCAAAACTTATCCCTTGAGGACTTTCCAAGTTTATTTACTGCCTTCAGTCAGGAGAAAACAAAAGAGCCAGCAGCTGCTGGTGGAGAAGAATTATCCCTGGAAATGCAACAGAGCAACTGCTTCCCAAGTAACTTGATGTAGCTTCCCATCATGCACTGTAATTCTAGGGAGCACTCAGCCCGGAGCACAAGGAGGATGGTGCACAGGGATCACAAGAAATGCTGCTTAGTGAAGAAGGGCATCGTGTTTCTTGTTGCTCCAAAACAATCACCAGTGACTTAGATCTTTGTATGAAACTCATAATTTGCTATCTGCAATTGAGAAGGATTATGCAATTTCAGATTCTAACTGAGAGTCCAGCAATTATGGGTAGGTGGATTTGCATTTGCATTCAAGAGATGGGAAATATTTTTCCTGAACTGAAGGGATGGGATATTCCTTGACAGTTCAGGAACTACAGGGCTCCAATTAAAAAAAGCCATGCAACATGTAATTAATCAAGAAGCTAACAGAATCAACACGAATTTAATCCCCTAGACCCTAAAAGGAACATCAAGTATAATAGAAATAAAGCCTGAGTTCATTTCTTTTTTGACACTTGTTCTAGTTTTTAGAAACTAGATGGTCCAGCAGGTCTGGACCATCGTGTTTTTTTGGACCTTGCAACTCAAAGCATAGCCCATAGACCAACCAGCCACTGGCATCACCTAAAAGGGTTTTAGAAGTGCAGAATCTCAGGTCCCACTCAATGCAGAACCATATTGTATCATATTTTATGTGTGCACATTAGTTTGTGAAACATTGCTCTCATAAACACCTCTGTATAAATGAGTCTCTTCAACATACAGAACAAAAACGCATTCACCAGAAGGTGATGACAACACTCCAGTTACTCATACACATGCAGAAACAGCTATATAGCCAGTAATCACATGTGAAGTAGCAAAAGAGAACAACAGTGAAGAGCAAGGACAGGGGAGACAGGAAGATCTGGATTTGGGTTCCATCTCTGCCACTTAATAGTTCGTAAGCGATCCTTCTGCTATTCCTCTGCTATTTCTACTTGGAAACAGAGGTAATAACACCATCCATACAGAAATGTTGAGATCCTGGAATAAAATCATGCCCTTAAAACTCTTGGTTTGGTGTCTGGCATGCGGAATGCACTAAACACTAGATCTACTTTATATGAAATATAGTTAAAAATCTTTGGTGTACATCTAAATAAAAAATTACAATAAAAGAAAAATTGCTATGAATCCCCCTCAAAATACTCCCCCTTCCTTTAAATATTTATCCATCATCGGTGCCACTTTCTGAAGCAGTTCTGGAAGTCCTCTTTCCTGATTGTCTTTACTTGGACTGCTGTGGCTGCCTTGATGAATCAATTCCAATTGTTTACTTTCATGGTCCCATTGACTCTGGAGAAGAGTCAGAATCACGAGGAACCAGGTCCAGTGAATAAGGTGGGTGAGGGCACACTATAATGTTTTCATTAGGCAGAAACTGTGATAAAAATTTTGAATCAATTCAGAACATTGAAGCAGCCATGAAGAGACACTGAAGAAAGAGGACTTTGAGAACTGCTTCAGAAAGTGGCAAGAACAATGGGTTAAGTGTGTTCAAAAAGAGGTTGAAGGGAATGAATGGTAATGTGTGTTTACTGCGGTAACTTTTTAAGATGTAAACATTTACCGTATTATTTTCTGATCACTTCCTGTACTATGTCCCAGGTGCTGTGCAGGGAGGAAGCGGTAGGAGCAGGTCTGGGACTCACCATCTGTGGGGCTCAACCCCCGGGCTGCTGAGATCATGGAAAGGGATGGGCTGCTGTGCAGGGAGCGGATGTAGTCCATGTAAGGGTTGATGTAGGGGTGCGGAGGGCTGAAGGGAGACTCAGACGCTGCGGCAGGGTTCCGGTGCGGGGAAATTCTAATGAAGGGCAGGTCCGAATATGTTGGGCTACTGGATAAGGCAGAAGGCCTGGGTATAGAGAAACACAGAAACAAGAGGTACGTGTGAGCTGAACATGTCCATAGTTAGCGGTTGTCCACGAAAGGAAACACATGCAGTTTTAAGGTGTCTTTGAAAAAAAAAAGGATAAGGCATATACTTTTGCAGTAGTATTAAATTAAAATCAGGGCGATGTAATGCAGGTAGGACACCACCACTTAATTACCTGGGTAAAGAAAAGGGACCTTTGAGAAATTTTATTGCATTTCAAATAAAGATGAGCCATTGGATGACCCAATGAGAAGAAATTCTAAATAACAGGTATTTGAACTTCAAGTGGTTATTAGGGTTAGATTTTTCCATTCGACTCAGACAATAATGACACAATTTAAAACTTACCTCTTATCATCATGGTACTGCAAAGAAACACCCCCAAATTTATCCGGTCTCAATATCTAGGTATGCTCATGGCAGGGGTGCCCATAAATATTCGAGAAGACAAATCACAAGTCTATAAGAAATGTGAAATCAGTCTCTCTCTATATCCACATCTATATGCACATTTGACGTTCAAGGGTCTCGCAGTGGTGAATGAAAACCACTTTATAGGTTTAGGTTGTCCTGGTACGAGGGCCACTTCTCTTCTCCATGAGGCAGTGCCTGGAATCAGCTTCCTGCTTATGCCCATTTTCATGTGGCACTCTGATTAACCATGTTTAACAAGCAACCAGCAACTAAGTAGTCCCCGGGTTTGAAAATTGGCGAGGAATGAGGTCTTGGTTATAATGAGCTAAGGTAGAATGTAAGCTTTGGGTGAATGCAAATAAATGTCAAAATGCACCTTGCTACCGCAATGTCCTGGAGACATGCTCCCTGTACTCTTTCACGTACTCATGACTTGGCCACCTGAAGTCCCCAGGGCACCCCTGTGTAGAATGGCCAGTCTGTGTAGCCCTGGCACAGAAGGTGTTTGGGGTAGATAATCCAGTAAACTGGCTGTGACAGGTTAAGCACTCCTGCTGTCTGCTCCCCTCATTCATGAAGGGCATGGCTGTACAAAGGAGAGGCCCTGATAGAGACAGATCAAGTGAGAGGAGCACATTCTTCTCCGGCCACGGGCTTCAGGAGTGAAAGAAAAGGGCGGGCAAATGTGTTTTCTCCTCCTGGCCCATCACCCTGGCAGAATAGAATCTTAGTAGAAAACAGCTCCACAAAGTGCACACACACACTGCACAGGCACCGGAATAAATGAAGCCAAAGATCAGATAACATATTTTCTCTCAGTAGGAAATAAAAAAGGTTGAAATGTGGTGGGGGAGGGGATGTGGAAGATTTTCTTACTTGGAGAACATTTTGTTCATTTTCGTTTGCAGTACTGGACTTTGAACCCCAAACCTTCTCCTTCAGCTAAATTCCCAGCCCTCTTTTATTTTTTAGTTTGAGACAGGGTCTTGCTAAATCACTGGGTTGCCCAAGCTGAGTCCAAACACGCCACCTTGAAGCATCAGACCTGCAGCTCTCCCCTCCTTGCTCCACCACCCTAACTCCTGAAAGGCACTAATCTTTTCACTATCTTCATATTTTTGTGTTTTCCAGAATAGCATATAGTTGGAATCATAAAATATATCACCTTTTCAGATCAGCTTCTTTCATTTAGAATATGCATTCACTTCATGACTTCAAAGCTGGTTTCTTTATAGCACTGAGTAATGTTCACTGTCTAGATGTACCAGTTAGCTTATCCATTCACCTACCTTAGGAAGGAAAACTCGGCTGCTTCCAAGTGTTGGCAGTTATGAATAAAGCGGTTCTAAGTATCCCTGTGTAAGTTCTTTGCAGAGCAAATCTGAAGTTCTGAGTCTGCTCTGTTCCTGTCCCTGAGAGCATGTTGGAAGCACATCCTTGGATTTCCCAAGGTTCTCTTTAAAAAGTCAAAGCCACACAACGCTGCTGAGAACTGAACACAGTAATTAAATGCAAGGACTTCCAAGGAACAGGATTTATATTCGGGCTCTGACACCCTAACTCGGGCATGTTTCCTTATACACAGATGGGAACAATACTAGCTTCCTCCCGTGCCTCTTTGAGGGCTGGAACCCATGTGTGCAAAGGCAGGAACTGGGGGCCTGCTGTGCAGTGAATTCAATAAATAATTTTGTGAAACCAGCCAACAGAACTCCTTTTCTAATTCCAAATTCAGCAAACAAATGTCTGCATGGCAATTTGGTTTCTTACCAGAGCAGTGGCTGGTGTCCCATTCTCCTGGCTCTGTGATTTCTCACTGAAAGTTTCTAACATTCATTATGTTTGCACCTCAGGCTCTTGTGAGTTGAGTTAACATGATGTGTCTCTAGTGCTGACAAAAATGAGTTTCTAAGCCAACAATACTGAGCATCCGACCTTGAACTACAATGACTCAAACAGCCATCTGACACTGATGAACTCTATATAAATTAGAGTCTTTCGCTAAAGCTGCTTTAAACATTACCTAACAGATTAATGTTCAAATTCATGGCAGCTGCATTATTTGTTAGTTATTATGTTTTTAACTGTAAAGCAAAATCTGAGAGGAAAGGTTAAGCTCCTTAAATTTAACAAGCAGATGTGTGTCCACTGTTGTGTGGAGTAACCATTCAAGATTACAATGAAGGGAGAGGTGAAATCTACAGAAATAGAAGGGGGTGTGGGGAAGGTAGCCACCAAATTTTCCATATAAATGACACATACAACGATCATAAACTTGACCTGACAAATATTTGTCAAGCTTGTTGAAAACAATTTTCATTTGAGAATTAAAGTAGCACTAAGGGAAAAATTACAGGTATCTCTCTCCATTTATATTTTTAGATGATACACACTGGGCTAGAACTGAAGGTTACATGGGTCTGTGTGTGTGGCTGTCTATCCTCTCTGCTCTGGGTCTATATGTGCTCAAGAGTAGAAGACAGGCACAAACTGTGGTGAGGAAAAAACCAGACAACAAATAAACTTTCTGGGGAAAACATCAAAACTTAGAACCGGTCTAAAAAAACCCAAAGAACAGAAAAGCAAGCATTCCATGCTATTAAGGCCGTAGCAAAAGATTCTAGAAATAAACCTGAGGCCCCTCCAAAGAAAGTCATGCAAACATCTGGGAACAAGGATTCCCAAATTGTAGAGACGTGGGCTGTCAAGGCTGGGCATAGAAGATGAGCCTTTGCCCTTTACCTCTGGATCTCAGGGCACTTAAGTCCCCACATAGGGACACTGTTCCCTGTATTGTTTCTAACCATGTGCCTTACACTCAAGGCCAAGAACACCTTAGGGGTAGCTGCCATTTGGTTTCTGATAGCCCAGTAGAACTGAGAAACTGAACACGAAGCATTATTTCAGACAAGAAAGAAGGTAGAGGCATTTGGATGTTTCCTCAAAAGACAATAAAACAGTATCAAGTTGTTTTTGTTTGTGGTCCCATTTGGACTTCAGATTAATTTTTTAATAAGTTCATGAAAATAGAGGACAATGGAAAGAGCATTATGGCATTTTTAAACAATATAGTGTGATAAACTTAAAAGCAAAAATGCACACTGCAGAGACTAACTGGACTCCTTAGTTAGACTGAAATATCATTATATAATCTAATTTGTTACTGCCTTTTCATCTATCTTATTGGGTTACTAAAATGCCAAGATTAAAATCACAGTATTTAATCATTTGCATTACCCATTATGAGAGCATTAAGCAAGGTTTACATACCAGATTATTACAGTTTACTTTCACATTACTTGGAATGCTAGGAATGTACACACATTCCTTATTTCCGTGAAGGAGTGCTCCAACAACTGGAAGACTAGCGTGTGGGTTTTTTAATGCAACAGGTTTATTTTCTGTTTAATTTTATTCTTTATAGAATAAATACTCTTCTTCATATTCAAATGGTAGAGAGATCAAAGGGGAGTTACCCCTCAGAGTGTATTATTAATTAATTATTCTTTAGAAGCACAGTTTTAATAAACCCAAATTTGTACAACGAAATTTGCTTTCCATATAGCAGAGGAAACAAACAGCTGAAATGGTCACAATTCATACTTTAGACACAAACAGAAGTTTGCAGGATCCTGCACTTCCTCTCTTCTCCTGTTCAACTTGGGCTCCTCAATGACCTTGGCCCTGGGATCACCAGGTAACCCTGGGATGCAGATATTCCCATGGCAACTTTTCATTTGTACCTCTTTCCCCCACAGCCACAATGTGCCTAGAGGGGAGTCTCTACAGGCTAAATCAGCTGCTCATTCCAACTGTGTTTCCAGGAATGGCACGTGTTGGCAGGAACTGGCAGTGGGGCCGAGGAGTCAGGAATTTATTTTCCTCCTTTCCTCTCCGATAGCTATGACAGCATGGGAAATCTCACAAACATAGTGTTAACAGAAGCCCAGCAAAATAATATAACATGCTATATGATCCCACTGATCCACAGAGTTTAATAACAGATAAAAGTCAACTTTGAAATGAAAACAAAAAATTTGACTTTGGCATTAAGAGAACATGCACCTTTGGGTGGGTAAGAGAGTATACGGTAGGCTTCCAGTGTACATTAATGTTCTATTTCAATTCTTGTTTCATGGTTTACTTCATTCTAATCCACTGAGTTATCTGAGCATATTTCATGTAACCCTTATATCATTCATTAATCGTTTTTTTAAAGAGGGATAAACAAATAGTATGTGTGCCAAACATACGGAGGCTTTTCACAGGAGTCTTAATCCTTTCTATTAAATTCAGAAAGCCAATTTGTATTTTTCAAAATTTATAAAATACAGACCCTATTAAAAAGTACCCTAAATAATATGATCATGTTTACTGCTATTAAACCAAGATATTCTAGCTGACACATCGGTCTAAATTCAAAGTAAGTAATGGAAGGTGGGCTTCTGTAAATTACCTTTGGGGCCGGGGAAGCTACTGCTAAGCTAATCAGAGGAGCTTCCTGTGAATGGAGAAGCCAAGCATATAGTCACAATATAGTCCTGTCCTTCTGCCTAATGGAAAAA